CGGCCACGGTGAGGCTCATAGGCTAGGCCTGTCTGGCCGCAGCATCCTTGAGGTCCAACAGAGCCTACTTGCCCACTCAAAGAAAGGAAAATGAGGGCTGGTACAGTGGTTCAAGTGGTAGAGCACCTGCCTAGCAAGTGTGAGGTACTGGAGTTCAAACCCCAGTACCACAAAAAAAAAAAAAAAAAAAAAAAAGGAAAACAAGGGGAGCGAGGGTGGTGAGCACACCATAGCCCCACTCACCAAGCTTTATTTCTCTGTCCACCACAGCCCCAGCACAGTCCCCAGGATCAGGCTGGCTTCCCAGTCACACACCTAGGTAGTCACATAGGGCCCTGTGCTAGGCTTAATGCTCTGCTTTTGCCATCTTGAAATGCTTAATAATTTCTTAACAAGGACCCCATAAAGCATGCAGCAAGAGCTTCCCATATTGCTCAGTCCCCAGGCACTATCCGGTATTTGATGCAGGGAACACACCCTCCTGGCTGTCTCCTTCTCCAGCCTCCTGAGGGACCATCATGATTGTGTTCCTAGTTCACTGGCTTGCCAATCCTCAATCCCCAAATGACCTCAGCTATATACACCTGATGCCAAGACTCCAGTTGCTATCACTGGTCTTCCCTCTGACTACCATACATGCCAACATTACCAGGGTCTCAGCTCTAACTCCTGATTCCCTCTCCTGAAGGCTTTCTCTGTGTCTTCTTCAGCCACAGCCAGCTCTGTCCTTCCAGTAGCTCCGATGGAAAATCTATAACTGAACTTGCATTTTCTCCATTCATCAGCAATTACTGATGGATTTTAAAAATAAATCTCCCATCTGACCACGTCTTATCACCTCTGCTACTACCACCTCACTGGTTCAGCAACCTCCTCACCTGCAATGCTGCATGGCCCCAGGCAGCCTCTGGATTACCCCAGCCCTGCCTACTCTCACATCAACAGAGCTTTATTTTCTTTCTGTTTGTGTTGGTGATGGAACTCAAGGCCTTGGCCATACTAAGCAACCACTTGCTCTACCACTGAGCTATACTTCCAGCCCAACAGAGATCTTTTTTTGGTACTGAGTTTGAATTTAGGGCCTCATGAGCTCTACATCTTGAGCCACTCCGCCAGCACTTTGTTGTGTTGGGTATTTTCAAGATAGGGTCTTGTGAACTGTTTGCCCAGGTTGGCTTTGAACTGTGACCCTCACTTCTGCCTCCTGAGTAGCTAGGATTATAGGCATGAGCCACTGGTGGTTGGTCAGCAGATATCTTTTAAAGGCCTAAATTAGTCTAAGTCTCCCCTCTGCTTTAAACCTGCCTGAGTCGTCCTACCTCACTGGGACATATGAACCCTTGAACCTTTCCTGACCTGGCTCTGAGACCTCATCTACACCCCTGCACTGGGCTCCAGCTACCCAGACACCTGCCTTCTTTTTCTTCTTTTTTTTTTTTAGGACAGAGCCTTGCTATGTAGCCTAAGCTGGCTTCAAACTCTCCATTCACCTGCTGCCTCCATCTCCCAAGTGCAGGTTTACATATAGATCTGTGCCACCATGCCCAGGCTTAGCCACCTTCTGATAGGGCTTCTAGCAGATGCCTTTGTACCTGCTGTCCCTCTCCTGGTGCTCTTCTTCTTTGGTCACAACATGACTTGTCTGACGTTTCTCCACGGCACTGCGCTAAGCCCCATCCCAGAGAGGTCTTGTTCCTCACCCCCCACCTTTAACATCACTGTTCCATGGAGCACAGTGCTTATTTACTTGTACTCAGCTACATATGTTACTGTTAGTCTGTGCCCATCATATGTGAGCACTGGGAATAGACACTGCATCCCTGCCATACCCTTGCATCTGGCATGTAGCAGGCACTGGTAAATATCAGCTGAATGAATGCTCCTTGGGCCTCTGTGAGGGCTGGCATCGACTCCAATGTGCTCCAGGACTGTCATACAGTTCCCATGGGCTCATTCTTGCAAAGCACCTTTCCTACCAGCGTGGATGCATGCAAAGAGTCAAACACATGGCTCAGACAAGAAGGCTCAGAGATGATGGGGCTAGACCAGGAGGCAGTGGGACTAGGGCCTGACCCCATGTCTTCTGATGTCTACATTGGAGTTCATGCCTTAACAACCTGGGGGCATGAGAATGTGGGTGCTTCTGGGCCCCTCCCAGTATACACAGCTGCAGTATGGCCTCTGCTCAGGGCTCCTGACTGAAGCTGACCTTTGGGTCTGCTTGGATGCCTTTGTCCACTTCCCTTCACGTTCCTTTTAGCTAAGCCAAGGGCTCACAGGTAGCTCCCAAAGCTCGGTTACTTTAGGTTTCCTTCCTGGGGGCTTCAAAAGAGCAGTGTGCTAATCTGCCTCCTTCAGCATTCATGTGAGTCACCCATGGTCAGTGGCAACTGGCACACCTCTATAGCCACATAGCATTTTAGGTCTTCTGAGGATAATGTGGGGTAACACAGGCTGCCTTGTCCTTGTCTCCAAGAGAAGAAGCCTCACACATGATCTTCCAAATTCATATACCAGACAACAAAGTAGTTAGACTGAATCCACTTGGGAAAAAGCCATCCGTTCCAGTAGCCTCCATTCAGTGGCCCTGGTCAGCCAATTCCTTCTAGTTACCCAGATGTTGGTGGAATCACCCTAGAAGCTCATGAGGTTCAGATCAAGGCACCTTGTTTCCCTCCTGGGAAACAAAAGGGCTAAGAGGCTGGGGACAGAGGGTCACAAACCCAGGGTCCCAAGGTAGGCTTCTTGCAAGACCACATACCTCATGTGGGCAGGCCCTCTTCTTCCTATGGCCACTTGGGCCTTGGCTAAAGCTGAGAGAGAGAGAGAGAGACAGACAGACAGAGAGAGAGGCAGAGAAAGAGAGAGAGAGAGAGAGAGAGAGAGAGAGAGAGAGAGAGAGAGAGAGAGTGTGTGTGTGTGTGTGCGTGTGTGTGTATTTGAGGGTGGGCACACTACCAAGAGGAGTAACAAACAGTCCCTTCAGAGGGAGAGCAAAACTACCCCTGGGAGTGAGGGAGCAGATCTAGGGCAGAAGGTAACATCGGCCTTCTGAGGGGAAGAAACTATATCTTATTCACTGCCTGGCTCAGAAAAATCAACGTCTGTTAGAGGAACATACAGGAAGAGTTTTAAACCAAATGACAGCATCTCATCATACTTAGAGAAGGTGGCTCAATGAAGACTTCATCCAAGAATGGACTGGCCTTCCATACCCTATCAGTTCCCAGATGGACATTCCTAAGCCACCACAGTCACTGCTCTCAAATGTCACAGCCCAAAAGCACAGAATCACCAACTAAGCATTGTCCTCAAAGCAGGTGGTTCCATCCTGGCTAAGAAGGTAGCCAGGTGGATTGGTTACCCAGAATTCTGGCCCTGCCCAAGTGGCAAGGTCCCTAGAAGGACAGCCCCAGGTTGCAAAGAGCCAGACGTGTCTGATCTTTAAAGTTCTTTCCTAAGCCCACTCCAGCTTCAGGAGTCACAGAACTACTTCCCTTTTACAGATAAGGAAGCTGCAGGCTCCACCAGAACAGATGGCTAGCAAGCAATGGGGTCATTCTGCTTCCTTGGCTCCCTTAGTCCTATGAAGCACCAACCCCCTCCCCCCCAGCACCTTTTGTGTCAACATTTGACTCCTTCCTAAGCATGCACAGACCATACTCCTACCAGACCCATTTGCCTGAGCACCTTTCTGTACTTCCATCCACTCTCTCCCTTCTGCCTGCAGTGCCCACCCGGACTGTGCTGGTGCCCTTCAAGCTCCAGTTCAAATGTCACGTTGCCCACGGGCAGGTCTGACCCAAGCTGGTGGCCCCTCCCAAGTCCCCTGGACTGGAGGTTGGGTTATCTGGACACAGATGCTTCTTCCCTGTGGGGAGGTGAGTCAGTCCTGGGAGGGCAGGCCCAGTTCACTTCCACCCTGTCCACCCCAGCGCCAGGCCCTGGGGGAGCAAGCACTCAGTAAATATTTGCTTAATTGAGTTTGGCCAAGGAGCTTCCTCCAGACAGGGAAGAGGGCAGCAGGACTAGATCTCCAGAGCAGGAAAATCGCTTGGGCAGAAAAGAGCCAGTGAGCGGCTCAGCTGCCTCCCTAGCCAGGCAAACCTCAGTTACCAGGCCAGTCCCTCTACCCTGAGATTCAGACTCTAGGGAACCCTGGTCTTGCTTGGCACCGCCTTCCTATCCTCTTCTCCCTGTAACAGAAGCCCCAATTCTTGGCCTAGGCGGATTCTTGCCACCGTCACCCAGACAGACTCAGCACCTCCCTAAAGGCAGAGCCCCTATAGGATCCACTGCAGGATAGTGAGCCCCGGTCCTGAGGCCTTCACACCCCTCCCCCAAACACCCTCACCGCCTTTTAAGGGAAAAAATATTGAGCTGGGAACATATTACAATCACAGCAGGTCGATACTCATCTCTTGCCCTAAATGCCTCCAAGAAACCTGCTCACTGCAACAGCAATGACCGAAAACTGTGAGCTGTCAGTCTCCCGGCCCAGGCCTTCAGGGCCCTTGCTTCCGTTTCGGCCAAAGCCACCCGTCGGCGCTCCGGCCACCCAGGGTCGCCCCCTTCCCTGTACTCCTAAAGAAGACCCCCGACTCAACGCTACTCCCGCAGGGCGCTCCGCCTGGGCTCCGCACCAGCGGCCGCTCAGGGCGCCTGGTGACCCCGTGAGGCAGCGCCACCGCCACCGCCACAGCCCCCTACCCACCCTAGCAGGCCCGCAGCCACCCCTTCCGGAGGGCTCCTGGACTCAGGCGTCTCCCTCCCCTGGCACCTGCCAGGCCCGCGGCCGCCCCTGCCCACCTCGCAGACAACCCCGCCCTCGCCAACCCCCACCCAGGCCAGGCATCCCAGCAGCTGCGCCCCCAGCCCCGTGGGATTCCGAGCACAAAGGCCCAGGCGGGGCCCTGGTAGGAGTGGGGTGGAGCCCCGACCGCGTCCCCGACCCCCGGGGCTCAGTCGCGCGCGCCCCTCCAGCGGGTCCGCTCACTCACCTCCTGGCCGCGACACTGTGCATCTGCGACCTGCTCCCGGCGGGGCGGGGCAGTGAGCGCGAGCCTTGGCGCCCTCCTTCCGCACGACGCGGGTGGCAGCACCCGCGCGGGGACGTGACCGGACCGCGGGCGGCGCACACGCTCCGGCCGGCCTGGCTGCCTCCGCCCGCCCTCCCGCGCCGCCCGCCACCCGCCACCCGTCCGCAAGTCTGCCCGCCCAGCGCCGCTGCCGCCGCCGGCAGGGGGCGGAGCCGCGAGCGCAGTGCGTTGCCAGGCCAACCGCGGGCAGGAGGGGGTGCCGCGCGCCCGCCGGGCACCATGCGCCGGGAGCCACCGCCCCGCCACGAGCGCCGGCTCGTCGCCCATTGGGTACATGTGTCTGACGGACGCTCCAGCGGCCGAATGGCGACAGACAGGGGCGGGGCCACGACTCCGCGCGCCCCGCAGTCCCGCACGCGCTGTCCAAACCAGCAATACAGAACGTTGCGCTGCGCTGCAGCCCTGCGCCTACACTGCAGGGCGCTTCCAAGAGCCAGGGAGACCCAGCCTGAAAGCGGCAGAGGCTCTGGCCCCCTCCACTACGGCTGGCCCCTTCTTGCCTCTTCCTACTCGGGTTCGAACCCAGGTCTTTCCTCCCTGAGCTCTTGGAGACCCACTAATTTCACCCACCGTTTGTGTTTGCGAAGTGTGTCTAGTGACACCTGCTTCACTAGATTGTCGCGACAGTGCTTTAAGACGTGAAAGACTTACGCACACCCTGAAAGGTTTACACCGGTGAGGTTTGTGCAGCATCTCTGCTGGTCTCCTTGAAGTAGGGCTCTTTTAGGAACTGTCCTCCAGCCCAGAGAAGAAGAAGGAAGCCAATTCAGTTGAAGTCAGGACCCTGTTGTTTGCTTTGGGGAGCTTGTAGAAGGCATTGGGCCTCAGCAAAATGCACTTGAGGATAGTGTGCAAAATTCTCTCAATTTCAAGGGGAAACCATTTGTGGGCCTCAGGGCCAGGAGCCTCTCACTTGAAGGCCAGAGGGTCAGGACATTAGTGTGGCTCTGTCATTTCCATCCTTGTAACCTGAAGCATGTGTGTCTTAGAGCATCCCTGATAAAATGCAGATGCAGCAACCCCCCAACACCTTCCTGGTCACTTTACACCTTCCCTTGGGTCAAATTACTTGGACCACTGTTTGTTGAGCAGAAGCACTGGAACTGGCCATTGACAAGGCTGATAGGATGGTGGCTCCAGGCCAGGTCAGAAGGCAGAGGGCATGGGTGGGGCTCTGCTATCTGGATGATTCTGGCTTCCAGATATCACCCCATAACTTCCCTGGAAGTGGGGACTGTTGTACTATATACTCAACATCACTGCACACCTATGAAGGTGCTGCCTAAACTTTTAGGGGGAGGACAGACACTGGCTATACCAACGTAGACGTGCCACATCTTTGGAGGCAGCCAATAAGGACTGAAGAAATTTGGCCAACAGTTGAAAAACTACTCCATATGCATGTTGTCATGTCACCAGGCTGTATCAGGCCAGATATCTGTCCAGAGGACTGCACAGAAGTTAGTAGTTGTGGAGCCTGGCTGAGCAGCAGTCTCTTCATCTATCAAAAGAGGGTAATTATGAAGGTTAATGTATGTAGGAAACACGTTAGCAAATGGTCAGAGATGGATAGAGGCAGTTTCCACAGCAGGATCAAGGGTCAGAGTTCAGCTTTTTGCAGGGGGCAAACCCAGATGCAAGAGTGGGATAACCCTCTATAGCATTCCAGTCATGAAAGCAGAGGTTATCCCCTGGATAGGTGCACTGGGTCTGGCTGCTGCCTCCTTGACCTGACCCTGGAAAACACCTCAGAGTAAGAGGGGGGGTGTCTCACTTGGTGGTAAACCAAAGATTATATTTGCTTATACAGCAAGCATTTACCACCGGCCTCCTCCATGTAGCACACAGTTGAAGTCACAGTTCTACGGTTTACAGCTGGCCCCTTCCTGGTACCCCTTGCGGCTACAGAGCAGGGGTAGAAAGAACAATAATCTTCTGCTGCAGTCATGTGGGGCTGTTGGAGGTGGGGGCTCTGAAGACTCTACAGGGGGAGCACTGATCACTGTGTCAGCTTCCTGATGGAAGAGATGTTTGGGCTGAGGCCACAGTAGAAATGGAGGTGGCCACTGACAGGAAGTTGAAGAGAAGTGAGTTCCAAGATGGGAATGAAGGAACCCAGGGATAACCCAGGGAAGACCCGCTTGGCCAACCCAGCAATCAAACTTGCATGGATACTAGGATATTTGGCTAGTGGCCCTCCAGTGAGATTGGGGATGTTTGGCCTACAAACCACTGGAGAATTTTAAGATTAACTTTTTAGGTAGATGGTAAGCTTTTGTTTCACATTGTTTACAATAGGCATGGTCTCACAGACCATGTGAGCTGTGGTATGGGGCTTAATCAAATAACAAAAATATCAGCTAGTCAGTCCAAAAACATGAGAAAAAGCAGAGAAGTGTATCCATGAGGCCTAGTTCAGCATAGAGGGACATCATATGTGCTGGGTGACAACATTGGGGCAGTTATCAGGGTGTACCATGCTGGTTGTGGGGCAGTGGAAAAACAGGAGAGGGTAGGGATAAATGAGAGAACCATAATGAGGGAAGATGCTTGCTGGTGGAAGGGGCCTGGGCTAGGCAGGAATGGGGCTGGACCAGAACCTGGGAGACAACTGGTGCTTTGTGGTGGCAAGAGGAAGGGACTCAGCCTACTGGGAGCCTCCCAGCTCAGCAGGGACAGCTGGTTAAGGTGGGGTCAACACTCTCTCAGGAAGTGACCAAACATCCATTGCAGGTGGCTCCATGCTATGGGCATTTACCACCTGTTAGTCCCAGTGGAATTTTCTGGCTCATCAATCACTACCCTAGTCCTTGCCCACACAACTAGCCAGGCCTGGTTGGCAGCTCCCCACCTTTGAACTTCTACCTCTCTGCCAGTCTGGACTCTGGACCTCTGTGAGGCCTGGCTGATCTGGGCCTTCCGTGCTACACTTCCAGAGCCCCAGAACACTGGACTTGTGCTTTACTCTTGTGACAACCTATTCTATAATGCCTGTCTCCAGCTGACTTTCTCATTAGTCTTCCTACTTATCCAGTGTGGGGTAGGGTGGGGGGGGTTCTCGCTCATCACTGGTTGCTGACCACCTAGGACTTGACCGGTAGGCTGCCACCCCATCCTGGCTGACACCTCTCTGTGCCCTGTCTGTTCTACCCCCAACCCTCACTGCCTCTAGCCTATGGCAGCTGGGTCAGTTCCTGCAATTTGTTTCCTTAGGGTCCATGGGTCCGCCCCAACTTGAACAAGCCATCCTGGATCTGGGTTAGTTATAAATAGCCAGGCCTGCCACTCTCCTTTTAGCTGAAAAGAAGCAAAGTGAACGAGCAGAAAGGCACACCCGGCATGCATTTTATTTTTAATCTTCCCCCGTCTCAAAAAGAACCCAGGTCCCAGTGCTGAGTATTTCTAGGATCAGTAGCTCGAGACAGAAACCCAAGAAACAAACCCCAAGTTTCTGAGGGTCCTGGCTTTGCCCCCATGCTGTGTGACCTTGGGCAATGGAACTTCGTCTCTGGGCCTCGATTTCCTCACAAAGGGCAGAGTGGGACAAGGGTGATGGTCACCTCCAATAGTCTGACCTTTCTGACCTCATTTTCCTCCCTTTGTCTTTCCCAAGCCTGTGTCCATCCCAACTCAGACAGCAGCTCCTGGTGGCTTCAGCAGTGACACCTGTCCCTGCGATTTCCTGGGGAGCCTTGATCCACATGCAAGTGAGGCCTCAATCAAGCCCCAATTAGACCACTGACAGCTTCCATCCATAGTGTACAATCCCTTCCAGGTGGGCTCATTTCAGTGCTGAGGAAACTAGGCTCAGAGAGGTTAGGTAACAAGGTTAAGGTCACACAGCTGGGAAAGGACACCTTTGGGAGTCAAACCTAGACTTCTTTGGAAATCCCATACATACACATGTATATGCCCCCTGCTTACTAAATTGGGTGGCTTTTTTAAAGGAATGAAACCATTAAAGACATGAAAAAGTCACGTGAGTATAAACTTAATGCAAGGCCTAACATGCTTGAAGCAACAAATTTCTGCTTTCCTTGTGTCCCAAGAGCCCTGAGAGCAAATGGGATAGAGCCAGCTGCTCCACCCAGGTGTCCCAGTGAGCAGCTGACCAGAAGAACTTGGAGAAACTGGGCATCAGGGAACATAGGGAGGGGGCAGTAAGAGCTGGTGGCCACCAGCCATATCTCTTCATTTCCTGTTGCCCCAGGCACCTGCTATTTGATGTTCTCAGGGAGCAAGGGCTGGGGAGATATCTTCAAAGGGGAAATCCCTGGTGCTAATTGGCACTCAGAGACCTTTAGGCTAATTAACCAGTTTATTTGTCTCTCTAGAGTCAATTAGAGGGTTTAATTGGGGAGGGCAGAAGAGAGAGGTGTTTGCTGGTGGCCACCTCCCTGGGAGCTATAGATGGTTTCACAATGGGCAGCCTGGGCTACTGGGAAGGCCAGGGAGAGGGCCAGCTGCAGGGCAGTAGTGACGGGCAGCTCTGAGGGCTATGAAAAAGGGCTGCTTTTTATTCCTTCCTCATCTCCAGGACTGGGAAGGCTTCTCTGGGACTGGGCCTTTTGGGATATTGTTTGTGCCTGGCTGTGGGTTCTCTTCCAGGTGTCCACAGGCAGATGTTCCCTAAGAGGGAGAGGAGTTGGAAGAGTGAGCAGGGCCTGAGTATGGTGTCTGCCTCACTATGCTTTTCCTAGCACCTGTGCCCAACTGTGCCATGTGGAGTTCCCCTTCCTGCAGGGCTCTGAATCCTTCAAGACCCCTTGGCCAGAGACGATGGATTCCTGTGATCTTTATTTTGAGGGGGCATGGGTCTTTTGGGGCTAGAAGATACTGGCCTACACTCTACATCTTCTACCTTGGCCTCCAGTCTAAGCTCTTCTCAATGACTGGCCAGAACAGTCTAGGGGCTCCAGCAACTTTGACAAGTTTTGATTGGGAACGAGGGCTTGTCTGCTCCCCACCACTCTGGGGCAGAGTAGGTGTATGGGTCGGTTTTCCATTATTGTGACAAAATACCCAAGAAAATTAACTGATGTAGGAAAGGTTTAAGTGGCTTCAGTCCATGTTCTCAGGCCCAATTTCTGGGCCTGTGATGAGGCCTAACATCATAGTGCCAGATGTGGTAGAACAGATTGCTCATCCCATGGCAGTCAGGACGGGGAGAGAGAGTGAGAGTGAGAGAGAGAGACAGAGAGAGAGAGAGAGAGAGAGAGAGAGAGAGAGAGAGAGAGAGAGAGAGAGAATGGAAAGGAGCAGACTAGGGACAAGTGACCGACTTCCTCCAAAGGGGGCCTACCTCCTAATAGCCCATTCAGCTATGGGCTCATCAATGATCTTATTCTTTGATGAAGTTATCACCCTCATGGTCCAATCACTTCTCAATACCACCCCACCCCTGGGAACCAAGCCTTTAGCACATGAGTCTCTTTGTGTGTGTGTGTGTCTGAGCTTTGAGGAGTGAGCTGCTGCTTCTCCTGCTTATGGCTGCTGTGCTCTTGTTTATGGCTGATGACCCCAAGACACAGGTGACTAAAGACTTTCAGTTACCTTTTGAGACTTCTGGGGCCTCACCTCTCAGCTCCAGCTCCTGTCATAATTGTATACACAGCCTCCTACTGGCTGCCCAGACCCGCCCCTGCCAAGTCTTCCTGTCAACTCGCCACTCTACCAGTGCAGGCTAATTAGCATGGGGGCATAGAATGGCCACTCATCCCAGTGCTCTTTCCTGTCCTGCAGGGGCCCAGGGTATCGTCATCAATGGCCTGATCCCCTCGCTGGTTTGGAAGCTAGAAAGAGAGGAGGAGAACATCCAGGAGCTCATCCTGGACACACTGGCACCCTGCCTGCAGGAAGATGCCACTGAGGCCCTACATAGCCGCGCTGTGCCTTGTCTTAAAGAGAAGCTCCTTAGTGCCAACCACAACATCCGAAGTAAGGCTGCTAGGGTACTCATTGCCATCAGGTGAGGCTCTGTCCTGGCAGACTGGGTGGCTCCCCTCTTAGGCATTTGCCAAGGCTTGGAGAAGACAAACCAGCTGCTACTGGCCCAGCAGCAGGTCAGCTGTAGGGCTTCTCCCAGCCAGGCCTGCCCCAGAGCCCAAAGGCATCTACCCCTGGCCAACTTCCCCAGCCTCCTTGTGCTTTGTAGGGAAGAGGGTGCTGGAATGGAAGATGAGCCTTTCCACTAGTGTGTCCATTGTCCCTTTGACCTGAGAGTGTCCTGTATACCAGGAAACCCTTCCCCACCCCTGCCCTGGACAAGCCGATTGGGCACCCCTTCCAAGAGGAAGGGAAGCAAAACCCCAGTAATGATAATGACAGCCAGTGGTCACTAAGTGCTCACAAAGTACCAAGTATTGTCTGCAAAGTACATACTTAGACATTTAGACAAGGAAGGCTTTTCCTCCCCTTTAGAGGGGAGGAATGGAGGCTCTTGATCTAGTCCCTCGCTCAAGGTTATATGGGACCAAGGTCTAAATCCTGGCTTGGAGACTGAGAAATCACAAAGCCTCCCAACACTAGCCTGTCATCTTGAGGACTGGCTGATTACCAACTCCTATAGTCCCTGCTTTGACCGTGGCTGCATCCCCTTAGTTGGGCCCTTCCTGCCTTCCCCTAAGTCCTGGCTTTCCTCCCATCTGGATTTCTTGCTAAGGTTTGGGTCTGTATTTCTGTAAGTGTGTCCCTGACCTGAGCCCCTTGGGGGGCTTTTTAGAATGCAGATTCCCAAGCCCCAGTCCAGGCCCGTCATCCTTCAGGTCTTTTTCAAAAGGTGTCCTTTTCATGAGGATTTCCAGGACAGAACTCTCTGCACCTGTCCTCAGCTCCTCCAGCCTCTCCCATCCAGGCTGTGTTCAACACCACCCCAACTATTTTTTGTGTCATCCACACAGTGAACTCTCTTAGGACAGGGCTTTGTCTGTTCACTGTTAGTTTATGTGGCTCCAAATGTCAACAACACTGAGTGGAAGAAACCCTGCTCTTGCCTTAGTATCCGAACAGGGCCCACTGCATGACTAAATACAGTGAATCCCTCAGGTGGGCCCAGGAGTCTGCATCCTTGATCAAGTGCCTCAGGGTTAAGGCCCACTGCCCAGAAAACTCCTACAGTGTCATGCTATCACAGCTACATGGCTTCCAAACCTGCTTCCCAAATGGTGTTCCCATGGAACATCTATGTCTTTGTGATGTTATTATAAGAGTTCTACAAAAATGAGGGTCAGTGGGCAGTGAAGTTTGGGAAGGCTGACTAAACAAAGTGAAGCCAAGGTCCTTGCATCAGGATAAATATGCACTGTGACGATCCCATGAGGCCTGTGAACACTGTTTCCTGGCCCAGGAAACCCTTCTCTTTTGGTAGGACAGTGTTGGCCCTCTCATGATTGGGAAATTCTTGGAGAATCCACCATCCTCATTTTCACAGCTTCATATAATGCCAGCATGAGAAGCAACCTAAAAGTCACCTTGTCTTAAGTCCCCACCTTCGGTTGCCCAGTCTGGATCAGTTCACAGCTGTGCGAGGCAGTGTGGCCTTCACTGGTAGATGGCTCTCAGGTGGAGTCAGAAGGGTCTTCTTGTGGGTCTCGCCCCTGGGCCCAGTTCCTCCAAATTTTTGGAGCCACGGAGAACATGTCTCATTTCTTCTTTGAGTGATGGCTTAGGTAACGCTCCATTGGCCTCTAGGGCTGTGGTCTCACCTTCACAGGCAGCAAGCCATGCTCATACCAGTACTCCTCTGTGCTCTGGTACCCTGGCCATGGCCAGTCTGGGGCCACCAGGGATGGTTCCAACATAAGTGCTTTTTGTGTCCTGGGGGCAGTCCTGGGCCTTGGCTCCTTTCCCCACAATTGGAGCCCCCAGCTGTCCCCTTTCTGCCTCAGCGTTCCTCTGGAGGGTAAGAACCAGGTGTGGCAGTATGATGTCATCCCCATCCTGGTGGATCTGCTGAAAGACCCAGAGAAGGAGGTGCAGGCCAACGCTGCTGGGGCCCTGATGTTTGCGACAGTGACTACTGAAGGTGAGGTAGAGCGGCCATGCCAGTATCCCTGAGGCTGGGTGGGTCAAGGCAGGATGGAGAGTCAGTCCCCAGCATGCTAGCAGACACAATAAGCTTTGAAAAACTCATCCTTCAGGGGCCAAATATTGCTTCCCTTACCCCAGGCTTCATCAAAATCCTCTTCTTGGTCTGTCACTAAGTCCTTTTGAGGTTTGGTCAAGGCTCAGCTTTCTTTTTCCTGGGCACAGCAGGCTGCCTATGGCACCTCACTAGTTACTTCCTTTAGGACATCTATCTCTTCATATCACGTTGTTCCCTGGGGCTGGAATTCCCACCTTGGGACCCAAGCCCCTTATGAGCTATGATTCTAGGGTTGATTAGTTTTCCACCCCTTATTATGTTATCCTGGGTTCTAAGCAAACCTTGGAGCCCTTGACTCTATGATGGTTCTTAATCATAATTACTTTTCTCAAATTGGGGGGGGGGGCAAATAAGAGTACAGGATTATCTTCCCCCAATCCCTGGCCCAGGACTCCCAGCCAGTCAGACTTCCATGTTAAGTCACTCAACCCTGGGATAAGAGAGGAGGCCTGGGTTGACAGTCTGGGATGTGACTCACTCAACAGGCTGGGGTATGGCATTGCCCCTCCAGCTTCCAGGTCCACCGAAAGCTGACTTTCCTCATTGGCCAAAATTCACCTGCCTCAGCCCTGTGCTCTGTGCTTCTTTGGGTTCCGTAGAGAACTCTCTAGACCTTGGGTTCATAAGCATGCTGCACAACCTCTCAAAGACAGAGCCTCCCAGAAACTCCCCACTGGACCCTAATGGCGGATTTGGGACACACAGAGGAGAGGTTGGGGCTTTGACAGAATCCACAGTCCACCTTCCCATTGTGTAGTCAGGATACTAATTACAAGGAGGGGAGGGGCATCCCCTTTGTCTTTATATTGGGGTACCTTAGTTGAGGCTTCCCATAGAGGAAGCCACTTGGAGAGCCAGGGACCCATGCAGGCTTAGACAATGGTCAGAGATGCAGAGGCCAGGACCCAGGGATGTGAGGCCACTTATTTCCCAGCTGGCACTCCAGCTGAAGGTCTCTTAGCCCCTGCCACATGCCAGGCCATGAGCTGGACAATGGGAACCCAGAGCTCTCACTCTTGGGTGTCTACAGCTGGTGTAAGAGGCAGAATGATGACTGATGTGGAGGAGAAGTGCAATATTTGGGGGGCACATGACAGGGGCCAAACCTCTTTTGGAAAGGGGTTTAGGATCAACCCAAAGGATAGCAGGAGTTAGCAGGGTAGAGGCTGAGACAGACAGACAAACAGATAGACACACACACACACACACACACACACACACACACACACACACACACACACAAAGCAAAGGGGAGAGTTTGCTTACAATGAAATGAGGGCAGAGAAAGTTTAAGGAGAGCGTCTCCTACACAAGTTAATGTCTACATTCCCTCCAGACTGTTAGCACCATGTGGGCAAAACCATGTGATATTTTTGTTGTTGTTTAGTTTATTTTTTGCTGTCATGTGCATCACATCTAAGGCCTCATGCGCATGCGTGATCTACCACTGAGCTACACCCCCAGCCCTACCATGTGTGTTTCTGTGCATGTGAAGAGTAGTTGCTTAAGAAGTATTTGCCACATAACTGATTGGCTTCTCAGTTTTAAAAGACTCTTTGTGCTGCCTTGGAGGTCTGATTGCAGGGTGGAAACAGGGTAGATAGAGACCAGTTAGGGCAGGGGACAAGGGGACTGGGACCAGGCTGGACTCAGTGAAAGAGTGCAAGAGAGGGGGAATGAGAGAAAGCAGGTATGTACAGGGCAGGGCATCCCCTTGGGACTGTGCAGGTAGGAGAGCAGGAGGAGGAAGGAGGCTGCCTTGGAGTGACTGGTTAGCAAACTCAATGTTGGTGGCCTGCAGGGAAGTATGCAGCCCTGGACGCAGAAGCTATCACCCCACTCCTGGAGCTGCTGCACTTGTCGAGCGCAAGCAAGGTGCGTCTGAATGCCACCAAGGCCCTCACCATGCTGGCTGAGGCCCCTGAGGGCCGCAGGTACCTGCAGGCTCATGTAGCAACCTTCCGTGTTCTTGAGAAAGATATGAAGGAGGCCATTCAGCGGGCAGCTCGCATTGCCATCAAAGTGATTGAGTGGAAACCCTGAGTCCCTCACTGGGCCAGACCCAATAAGTCACCTCCATACCTGAATAAATGGACTGAACCTCTTCATTGTGGGTCCCAGTAGTACTTCATTTTTCTGGAGCATGGTTACATATCTCTCTCCTGCCAAAGAGGAAACACCAAGCCCAGAAGGACCGGGTCCTGGGCAACACAAACCCAATATAGGGTGGGGAATTGGTGGAAGGTGACCCTGCACATGTCTTCTTTGCTGAGGCCCAGAATCCCCTCAGAAAGCAGATAGCAGAGATGAGCCCTTCAGGGAGTTGTGTGGAATGGGGAGTTGGGTTAGAGATTGGAAGGAACACAGCAGGACCAGGAACCAGCAAAGCTCAGGCACTTGAATGTCTCAGCCTGTAGGGTGCAACTGGATGTGTCCCTGCTGAGCATCCTCCTCAGTGCCCTGCTTAGCCAGTTCTGCTCCTTCTTATACTGGGTGGCAGGCAGGAAGGTGAGAGGTGTGACTGGATGCTGATGCTGGCTCTTCCCAGAGGAGGGTGTGTCAGTTGTAGAAGGATCCCATAGGACTGAGCACTGAGGACAGAGATAGGTTCTGGTTTCCTCCTTAAGCTCTTATCCCTAAAACAGCTGCATTCTTCTCCAAAGCAAAGGAATCACTGAAACACATCCCTCCTGGGCCAGCTGGAAGTCCAATATACCCTCTCTGCTACCAACACTGTCGTGAGCTTTCCTCCCACCAGTGCCTCCACCTGTAATGAGACAGGCATGCAGATGAAGTTGAAAAGTCCCTTTATCTCTTCCCCACCCAGCACTGCCTGGTCTAGTCAGGCAACAGCTCCCCTACTTTTGGAGAGAAATACTGGTTCCAACCTCTGTTGGTGGAGCTGTGGAGCAGATCTCTGCTTTTGAGCTGAGCTGAGCCCTTTTGTCTTGGTCTGGGACTAAGCTGGAGCCTTATCTTTCCAACCAAGCTTTTTGAGGTTCCATCCTCAGCAAGTAGGAATTTATTAGGGGAGGAGTTATCAGAATAAACATTACCAGCAAAACAAGAATCCCACGTGTCTCTTCTTGCAGTCCTTTTAATGAGCTCCAGGGACCCTCAAATCTCCTAGAAGAAACAGAGCAGTTTGTGTCCCTGGAATGAAAGGATTAGCCCAAGTAGGCCCTCTTGTTCTGTAAGGGACTAGCTGCTGGGCCCAGCTGGAGTTTCAGGCTCAATTCCATTTTCAAAAGAGGCCCCTTGTAAGAGGAAATCTTTCTTCTTCAGGAAAACAGAGGTCTTTGTCCCAATCCTGCCTCAACCCATGACAGGTTGGCTCTACTATTGCCACAGGGTCCAGCCAAGGTCGCTAACTTCCATGCCACCAAGGTACTGTGGTTTTGATGTCCATTGTGGAATCCTTTCTTGCTACATGGCTAGGGAGGTGATGGCGTTTCTCATGGCACTGATCTAGGTCCTTGCTTCTCCCATTTTTTCTCACACAATCTCATCTGCCTAGCAGTGGGCTTCCTCTACCAAGTCCCCTTCCTATCTGGGCCTGCTTTCTGCCTTCTCTCCCCCAAATCTGGGTATCTAGCCCCAATCTCTCTTCTAGGTTCTGGTCCTTAATATTCTAACTGAACATCTGCCCTTCAATGACTCCAGGGAAGAATTAATACCAGGCTTTCACAAATGGCTTTCAAAATAGAAGAGATAGGAGCATTTCTGAATTCATTATACCATGGTAATTCTATCCTGATACCTGAAGCATACAAAGAAATGATAGACCAGTATTCCTTATAAACACAGACACAAAAACTCAACAAATGATAGAAAGAAAATGATAGACCAGTATTCCTTATAAACAGACACAAAAACTCAACAAAATATTAGCAAATCAAATCTAGCAACATACAAAAAGCATTGTATACCAGGACCAACTGGAATTTAAATGTCTCAGGAATGCAAGATTGGTCTATATGAAAAACAAATCAATGTAATGCACCATACAGGTAGAAGGAAAAAGTCAGAAAAAGCATTTCACAAAATACAAAACCTATCATGATTAAAAACAAAAACAAACTAGGAATAGGGAAACTTCCTTGATGAAGACCATCTGCAAAAACTCACAGCTTGACATCATCTTCAATGGTGGAAAAACTGCTTGCCCCTTGAGATCAGGAACAAGACAAGGATGTCTTGTGGCTCTTGCCACTTCTACTGTACATTGTACTGGGAGATTCTAAATGGGGCAATAAGGCAAGAAAGAAAATAGAGGTTATTCAGCTTGGAAAGAGAGAAGTAAACTATTTTTATTCACAGATTGCATGATCTTATTTGAGAAAAATCATGCATTAAAAACTATTGGAACTAACAAGTTCCACAATGTTACAGGTTACAAGATCAATATTCAAAAATCATTTGTATTTCTATATACCAGCAGTGAACCATCCAAAAGTTAATGGAGGAAAATTTCATTTACAATACCTCAAAAAGAAGAAAATTATTTAGGATTAAGTTCAACAAAAGAAGTGCAAGACTTGTGCACTGAAAGCAAAACATGGTTGAAAGACCTTAAAGACCTAAATAAATGGAAAAATATCCCACATTCATGGGTCAGAGACGTTATGCTGTCAAAATAATAATAAACATCTTTATGCTGCTCAGATTCAACATGCTGGAAAACAAGCTCTTATTTTCCTTCTGCCTGTTCTATCTCCAGTGTAGCCCATTTCTAGAATTCATGCAGCTTTCATCCATGTGCTCAAGCCACATGGTCCCTTAGCCCCTCCCTCCAGAAGTCTTCTTCTCTTTGCCTGTCCCCCAGTCTCCTCATGGATGTTCCTGACTCCCTTTCATCTCCTCAGCAACATCCAGCAAATCTGATTCCATCATTTTTCTGCCTAAGCTCTTAGAAATTTAGGATTCCAAAATGTACAGGCATACAGGTCAGGCCTCCGACTCTCTACCTCCTACTCTTCTTCACATACATGCCACGTCTCAGCGTCCTCAGATATGCCTTGCACTCTGACCCCAAATATTCCTACATGTCACCCCTTCTATTACCAACTAACAGACCTCCACCTTCCCTGACTATGAATCTTGGTGGGACTCCCTGATGGGCATTTCTACAGTACATGCACTTTGAAGTGGGTCAGCCTGTGGACTTCTATCTACCCCCTGGGTTGCTAGCTTTCCTGCATAGCCTCATTATCCTCTGTGAAATGTGGTTAATTCTAGTCCTTCCAGAAGGTGGTTCTGTGGCTTGAATATGATAAGGCACTTACCCTGGGGATAAATACAGCAGGCCACATGAAATGCAGGCTATGCCACTATCAGTTAATTTTCTGCTTTTCATCATAGACCATAATCTCTGAGATCAGTTCCCCTGTGCTCTGTTCATGGCTACTTCCTTGCAGCACAACACAATGGTGGGCACACAGTGGGCACTCAGAAATATTAGCTGAAGGAGTGAAAGAAGGATGAGAGACTGACTATGTGTGTGTCTTCAGAGTGTGATTTTCATGATACAGGGCAGGCCTCCCCCAAGTCACTTCAAGGCACCTGAAACTTTCCCCAAAGACACAAAAATCATTTATTTTTGTCTTAGAAGGAAGAGGAGAGAGAGGCTTAGGAACGCCCTACAGAAACACAGCCCAGGAGTGGCCTATACTTGCTATCTGAAGGGAATCTAACCCATGGACTCCACTCCAATTAAACAGAGTCAAACTGGCAGTGTGAGTGGGCAGAGCTTGCATGGAGGGAGTTTCCTCTCCCGCTGCCCTCCAGGAATGCATTATAGCAGAAGACCATCCATGGTGAGTTGTGGGGAGGCCAATTCCATTAGAGCAGAGGCTGCCTCAGTCCCACCCATGATCCATGAAGGAGCCAAAGTTTCTATCCTTAAGGCAGCTCTTGCTCCATTCCCTGTGTGGTCCTCAGAACTGGGCATAGCACTTGTGGGTGAGTGTATATAGGGGTCAGGTGGCTTACACAACATGGCATCTTTGCCCACAGGACCATACCTTCAATAAGGAGGAGAAGACAAAGCAACAGAGTGGGGGATATAAAAAAGAAATGGTGACAGTCAAGTAAACACAGCAAAACCTCCCAAATATATCTGGAGATAAAAAGCCAAAATTAAATTTAAAGTGAAAGTGAATGCTTATGCAGTAGAGACATTTGGAGAATATGACTCATTTCAGAGAGGAACAGATGTTCTCATTTGCATAGTCTCTGTAATAGTGAATGGACTTTGCTCTGTCCTGTGCAGCATGCATGTCCTGCATCTGGTAGTGCTTGGTGCATGACACCAAGGGAGTGTTTCATTAGTACAATCCTTGGCCCCATATTCTTGGGTCTCCCAGGAGGAAACACTGCATCCCCTTTGTGATGAGGGAGTCTGGAAAAAACAGCAGCCCTGCCTGCCCTGGACATCCCTTGACATGCATCAGGTGTAGATATGGCCAACAACAACAAGCACCAACAGGATGATCCCACCGACACTGACCATTTCCCTACAGAAGGGCTTGTCTGGCCTGATACCTGGCTCTGTGTCTTTTGTTCTCTTGGTGGCCTCTGTAGCCCTAGCTGTCTCTTGAGGCAGGAGCTCTGTACCTTCTGATGTGTTACTAGGTTCCATTTCCTCCTTGGTTGTCTCTGTCTTCTCCTCAGTGGCCTTTCTAGGGGCCAGCTTGGGATCCAGCAATTGCTCCAGGCCACAGAACAAGTCCCAAGTATTCCAGAAGCATGTCTGGGTCTCCTTGAACATATCTAGAACAGAGAAAACAGATAACAGTCAGGAGATGCACAAGCATCTGTCCTCAACAGGAAGGAGGACAGGTAGAGAGCCCCATCTCAGCAGCAAGTCCAGTGTGAAGTCTGATAAGCCTTGCTCCTAATAAGGAAGAACACCTTCAGCCTAGACACGGAATGTCAACCATCATCAGAGAAATGAGAGGCAGAGGGTCTCCTTGACTGGACAGCCCAGGTAAGTGTTATAGGAACACTTCATTGAGCTATGGCAATGCCCTTCCTGTCTTTGT